ATATTATGTATTTAAGGATCCTTGTATCTGTTTATATATCTACCTATCTTTCTTTCTATCTATCTATACATTGGAAACAATTAACCTTGCCAATCGCACAATCTATCTCACTCACCGTTTTAGGCTTATGTCCGGCGCGTCTAGTACCAACAGCACCAGGAAAGGACAGGTGATCAATGTGTTCTCCATTGCTTCTGGTCATCTTTATGAACGTTTCCTATCGATCATGATTCTGAGTGTGCTGAAGCAAACCAACAACCCCGTCAAGTTCTGGCTATTCGAGAATTCACTCTCACCGACCTTCAAAGTAAGTGGTTACTTGTGAGGTCTATATGTACCTAAATACTTCCTCTGGGGTGTGTCTTTGGCATGTTCAACTAGGAATAGTCTATGGGACTTCAATTGTTTCAGAAATGTGTATTTTTAAGGTACGATCCCACTTCAGCCTCAGCTTATTGTGCACCCTGTCCATTTTCATCGAAATAGGACTTTCTGCCCCATTTCGCGGAAGAAAAGGACTTTGACTACCAGTTGGTGACCTACAAATGGCCTCAGTGGTTACGCGCCCAAACAGAGAAGCAACGTATTATTTGGGGGTGTGTTAGAGTGACTAATGTCAAACTGGCACAGTCTGCATTCACGAAGAACAGTACTTCATTTGCGAGTGCATTTGATAGGATTACTGGAGCACACTGTATGCCTAAAGTATATTACCACACAATTGAACTGTATGCCTAAAGTATACTACCACCCAATTGAACTGTATGCCTAAAGTATACTACCACCGAATTGAACTGTATGCCTAAAGTATACTACCACCCAATTGAACTGTATGCCTAAAGTATACTACCACCCAATTGAACTGTATGCCTAAAGTATACTACCACACAATTCAACTGTATGCCTAAAGTATACTACCACCCAATTCAACTGTATGCCTAAAGTATAGTACCACACAATTCAACTGTATGCCTAAAGTATACTACCACCCAATTTATTGTTTACTGTTATGTGTATGTGTGTGCTCGTCGGTGTTATCGGATCACCCACAGCAAAAGTCATAGCCAATCACAGTTTAGCTCTAGGCTGCCAATAGTACGAACACGGATAATTGATGTCAGAAGACAGTGAGGGAGGTTAGGTTTTATGGTTTAGGGTTTAAGGTCTGCCGATTTACCATAGCCTCAGAAAAAAAATTACGTTCAAAAGCTGTATAGTGCTTTACGCGCACTTCTCAGTTTAACCTGTTGATATTCATAGCCTCCTGAAAATAATATTGAACATAACATTCTACTATAGGGTTTAGGTTTTTTTGTTTAATATCTGCTGATAGCTCGTGGCGTCACTTGTTCCGCGTCGACCATTCACCCTCTCATTCTACCCCAACCGCAGGTACAAAATTCTATTTTTAGACGTTCTTTTCCCATTGGACGTCAAGAGGATTATCTTTGTGGATGCAGACCAGGTAAGCATTTCATTTCCTAAAAGAAGTCCCAAAAACCAGTCGCGATGTAAAAATTGGGTTTGCAATTCAGAGATGCACGTGTTTCTGATTGACCAAAGAATGTTTCTCGTGCGAATGCAGAGGTCCCCACTGCCGATGCATATCGCGGTGACTGTGTTGTCATAATGTTGGGTTTGCAGTTGTTGTAGTCTGTTAATAATAGCGTGAATCTGTTTTAGGGTTTTTAGTGCATGTGTGCGATCATCTTGTATGTGTGTTAGGCTCAGTGTAAGTGTGCCCTTTGATTGTGTATAACTTTTGGTGGATGCTTATTTTTCTATATCCTCCAGTGTTGGTTGCGTCTACGTGCAAAGCTATCAGCAGAATAGACTTGTGGGTACATAAATCCTGCTGCCATCCATATATCTTACTAGAACAAGTATATATATATATATATATATATATACATACATACATACATACATACATACATACATACATACATACATACATATATACATACATACATACATACATACATACATACATACATACATACATACATACATACATACATACATACATACATACATACATACATACATACATACATACATACATACATACATACATACA